TCCAAGCCCTTCACCAGCCTCGTTGCTCTCCTTTGGACACGCTCAAGCATCTCAGTCACTCAGGTCACTCAGTCCCAGAGGGCATTTTGCTAACAAGCAGCAACTTTGTCACCTCTGTCACCCGGGAGGGCGTGGAAGGGTGGGCAGGGCGGGGTTTCCTCCTCTTTCCTCCTCATTGCTGTTCTCCCTGCAGCCTGCCCTGAGCGGTGCCCCAGGGTTCATCTGCTGGTCCCGGGGCTTCATGGAGCTGGGAGTGACGGGCAGCCGGGCCGAGCTGGTGGATTCCCTGAAGGAATACTCGGCCCAGCAAGGGAATCCCCCCCTGCTGCTGTTCCCAGAGGAGGCTGCCACCAACGGCAGGGCCGGGCTGCTGCGCTTCAGGTGACTTCCCCCAGCAGGGAATGGCAATTCCTGCAGCAGGGTGGGAAATGTGGCTACAAATATGTGGCTGCAAATGTGTAGCTACGTTGCTTTTCACAGAGAAAAGCAAGGCACAGTTCTTCCCAAGAATATTCTTATCATTTGCTGTGCCTGTGTTTGTGCAAAAGTGGAATGCAATGTAAAGATTGTTTACCCAAAGTGATGGTGTTTTGTTTCCTTGGCTTATCAGGGCCAAATGTGTGTGTGTGTGTGTTGTGACTGTCAGCTGATAGTCACAAAATTCAGTGTAGTTGCTGAGTGATTAGCAGATTCAGTTTAGATATATTTCAATATAGTATCATAAAGTAATTAATTAGCCTTCTGATAAGATAGATGCATCATTCTCTCTGCCCCTGCAAATTCAATAGGGTGGCTGGGAATGGCTCTGCTGTATGGTGACAAAATGGCTTCAGGTGGCTCCTGGGTCACTCACTGCAGAATTTCCTCCCTTCCAGCTCCTGGCCATTCTCCATCCTGGATGAGGTCCAGCCCGTTGCCCTGCAGGTCCGGAGGCCGTTGGTGGCTGTGGTGAGTGCTGGGCACAGGGACAGGGTGTGGGGTGGGACCAGCCTTTCTTTCTGCTTTGGAGAACGTGGTGTGGCCTGGCCTCGTGTCCTGGCAGCCTGGAAGCAGCTGCTCAGTTCCAGTGCCTTTCCCAGGAGCCAGTGTGACAGATGTTTGGGGGCCCAGCTGGCTGTCACTGTGCCTCTGGCTTCCATGGCCACTCTGCTTTGCTCTTGCTGAGTTCCCTGCTGTGAAAGAGCAGCTGCCAAAGGTCATCAGGGCTCTGGAGGCTCCTGAGCTGGAGCCCCTGGCACAGACACAGGACATGGAGCAGGAGCAGCCCCACAAAGGGATAAAGTCCATGAGGGCAATGGCAGCACTGCCAAAGCATTGCAGGGAAACTGCTCTCATTGAATTTCTTATTTTTGATATTTATTATTTATGGTCTGGTGACTACAGAGAGCTGCCTGTCATGGGTGTGGTGTTCCTGTGGCAAAGGAACCCCTGGCAGGGTGAGGAGTCACCTGGATGTGTGCAGGGATGGGAACTTCAGGAATATTTGGCAGAGCTGAGACAGAGTTGAGGCAGGTCACAAGGTGGGTGAAGATGCAGTTTTCTAGCAATAAGTTACATTTTGAATGACTCCTCCAGAAAAGTGGGAGAGTTTTTCTGTTCTGGACAGTTTATAAGGAATATCTTATGCTTTTATGGGGTTGGTTCCTTTGAGAAATTCTGAGATGTGACAAGCTGTGTGTCTGTCTGTGCATCCCTTCCCTCCTGCATGTCAGGGAGAACAGCAGGTGCTGGCTACAGTCACTTCTTGGCTCAAACTTTACCTTCAGAGTCTGAGCAGGACTTGGTGCTTCATTGGATGAGTAAATCCTGGTGGATTTCTGGGGTGATTTTAAACCATCAGAAACTGGAAGGGTTGGAGATGTGATCTTTTGAATGGATTGATTGGTGTTTTATAGAAAGTTTTCTTATATAATTGTGTAATGTGTATTAGGCACTGGGTTCGGCCAAACACCAAATTTGGAATTAAGAGAGAATTTTCTGCAGTTCCAGTTGCATGGAGTGTTGCAGATGGGTGTTGTGGGTGTTGTTCTGTGGCACAGGCAGTGTAACTGAGATCTGGCTGTGGGCATCACTCCAGGCATTTGGGTTTGGAGTTCTGAGGTTCTGCTTATCCAGGTGAGGCTTCTCTGTTCCTCTTGTGCCTGGGTTTTCAGGTCTTTTCTCATTTACAGCTCCTCTTCCCAGGGACAAGCCTGTCTGAGAATCACAGAATTGTTTGGAAAATCTCTGGAAAATCAAATCCCACCATTGCACAGCAGTGCTAAGGCCAGCACTGGCCATGTCCCCAAGTGCCACATCCACAAGGCTGTTAAATCCCCCCAGAGATGGGGGCTTCCCCCTGCCCTGGGCAGCTGTGCCAGGGCTGGGCAGCCCTTCCAAGGAGGAATTTTCCCAATATCCAAACTCTTGTGCTGTTCCCTAGGAGAGCTTACAGCAGTTGGGACATCACAGAGAGGCTGTTGCCACCAGAATGAGGGAGGATTGTTCATGGTTCTGAGGATTGTTCATAGTTTTTCTGACATTTTTGTAACTTTCTGAAGGGACAGACTGGTAGGGAATGGGGGGATACTGAGGGAAAGCCTTGCTGCTTAGTGGGAGGAAAATGAAAATTGGTGATGACAATGAGGGTGAAGCTGCCCTGGGGCTTGCACTGGCTTTGCTGTTGCCCCTTTCCCAGTCCTCCAGCCAGGTGTGCTGTGCCCACCTCCCTGCCCACTGCTGGGTGGGATCTCACTGTGCTCTCTTCTTCCCCAGAGCGTGGCCGACTCCTCCTGGATCACAGAGCTGCTCTGGACCTTCTTCGTTCCCTTCACAGTTTATCAAGTAAGGTACTACGTCTCTCTCTTCTGTTTGGGGCAGGGCTGGGGGTGGGCAGGGCTGTGGTGTCACCCTGGCACTGAGAGCTCCCTCCTTGGCACCATCTGGGCATGGCCATGTCCAGTTTCTGATGTGGAGAGGGCTCCTGGTTCCTCTTGGGGAAGGAGAACAGTTTCAGTCTCTCCAGGTGTTCAGTCCAAGTTTCCAGATGTATTTTGAAGCTGCTGAGCCCCCAGTGTCTGTCTGTCCCTACAATCCCTTGGGAGTGGGGTGGCCCAGAGCCCTGCCCAGGCCCTGAGTAACTTTGCTGTAATGAGGGCAGTGGAAAGGACTGGGAATCAAATGTAGGGCTTGGTGTATTTCAGCAAAGGAAAGCCTTTCCCTGCTTCTAGCTGCCTGAATTCTGGGTGACCTGTTTCCTCCTACCGTGTAAATGACCCCAGATCCTCATTAAGGCCTTTCTCTCATTAAGGCCTTTCTCTCATTAAGGCCTTTCTCTCATTAAGGCCAGTGAGCCACTTCTGTCTCCTGCCACATCCTGCATTTGGGAGTGGCTGCTGGCCTTTGCTGCTCCTCTGGGCAAGGCTGTGGGCTGAGAGGGAGCCTGGAGGTGGGGATGGCATGGCAGGGTGTCCCCAGGGGCTCTCCCAGCAGGGTGGCTCCACGTGCTGTCTGTCTGTCTGTCTGTCCCCTCTCAGGTGGATGCCGTCTGTCCCCAGACGAGCGGACGAGCGGAGTGAGGACTTTGCGCTCCGAGTTCAGGAGGTAGGAAAGGGGCTGGGACAGGGATCTGTGGCATTGCTGCACTTTGGGGTGGGCACAGGCTGCAGGCAGAGGTGCAGGGGGCATTTCTGGATGTGTGTGTGTGTGTGATGGGAGCTCTGGTACATTGTTGGTTTTTGGGGTTTTTTTGGTTAAGGTTGGGATTGAAGGTGTTCCCTCAAGGCTCTTTCAGATCCTGCAAAGTTTCATCTCCAGATCTGATTTATTAACTCAGGGTGTAGATCTGATTTATTAACTCAGGCTGTTAATCCTGAGGTGTTTCTGTGGCTCAGTGTCACTCTTGGGCTCTGCATGAAAAAGTGGAACAGGGTGAGGAGCAGCAGGAGCTGTTCCAGTGGGGATTTTGGGCAGACCCCAGCAGCTGCTTCCTTCTCTGGCCTTTGGGATAAGGGGCAGGGCTGCTTGTGGGGTTTCCTCCAGCCTTGGGTGTGCATGGAGGGTGCTGAGGGAGCTGTAGATGCTATTTTGTGTTTAGACTTAGATGTTTAATTTTTTAAAATTTATTTATACTTTTATAAGTAGTGAGATTTGTAGTATTTTATTAATAAGTCATAAAATGGTTATGTGTTTAGTTTTCTAAGTTTTTAAACTAAATACTATTTCATTAAGAAACTATACTTAAATTATTATTTTTAACTTAATAATTTACTTGTGTTTTGTAATGTGGATTTTTTTTTTGTTTAGTTATAAAATACTACTTAAACTTATGAAGAAGGACTAGTGTTTGTTTTAAAACTTTTATTTTCTTATATATATTACTATATTCTAAAGCATTATATTATATTATATTATATTATATTATATTATATTATATTAATTACATTATATTACATTACATTATTTCATATTATATTATTTCATATCATATCACATTATATTCTAAACTCTATGTTTTTTACTACATGATATTACACACTTCTAATCAAACTACACACCCATAATCTTAATTCTATTATTTAATTTTAGAAGATTTCTCTATGGCCTCAGGTCAAATGCAGTGTTCTCTTGGGGACTAGAGTCTCTCAGCACAGAAAATCTAAAATTCTCAGCATCCAGGACTCCAACAGAACATGGTTATTGCCCCTTGCAAGAGCTCAGTTATTTCATGGCCTGTTTGCCACCCCACATTGAGCTTTTCTGCAGTTGTCAGGGCTTTTCCCATCAAGTTGAAACCTTTCACCCCCTTTTTATAACACCACAAATCAGTGGTTTCTTCATCCTGCCTGTAGATGCTGGGTATTTGACAGCTCCAGACATCTCATACCTCCTTGTCAGCCTGTTTTGGCAGGATGATATTGCAATTCCTGATCCTTTTTGTGCCCTCTGCCACACTGCAATGCATCCCTGAGGCCCTGGAGAAATCATTTCCCAACCCTCTTGCCCTCAGCATGGCTCCATGTGGCCCTGGCATGCTCCCCAGCCTGGAAGGGCTGTTTGTGCTGTGTGATTTTAGTGTGCTGTGTGATTTTAGTGTGGCTGCTCTGTGTTCCCAGCTCTTGGCCATGGAGCTGGGTGTGGTATCCACACGGATCACCGCTGCCGACAGGACGGAGCACATGAAGAGGCTGAGGCACACGGCACAAAGGCTTTCCTTTGCCCCAGGTGGGGATCCTGGCTGTGGAACCTCAGCCTGGGCTCTGCTTTGGGGGTTCTCTGTGTGTTTTCAGTGACAAACTCACCCTGTGCCCGCTGTGCTTTGTCCTGCAGCCTCGAGCCAGCGCCCGGCAGCCCGGCCCAGGGTGCCCCCCAGCCTGCCCAGGGGTGCTCCTGAGGACCTGAGGGTGGTGGCCATGGCACAGCAGGTCAAGGAGGTGCTGCCTCACGTGCCCTTGGAGGTCATCAGGACAGACCTGGGTGAGCAGGGCTGCCAGCAGGGATGTGGGTGCAAAAGAAGAAACCTCGTTCCTGCTGCGCTGGTACACACTGGCAGCCATGATGGAGTGTCCTGATCTCTAATGGTTCCCTTTGTCCCCACAGTCCAAACCAACTGTGTGGACACCACCATTGCCAACTTGCTGGAGGGGAGAGTTCCCTTCTTGCCTGAGAGTAAAGAGTCTGAAGACCTGCCTGCCCCATCTACCTCCCAGGCTGCAGCTGCTTCTGGCATCCAGGGCTCTGTGCCTGCGCCTTCTTCCAAGGTACTTTGGGCTTGTGTCTCCCTGCTCTGCTGGCCAGGGGCATGGAGCACCAGCCAGGTCCTTGCAGAGCCACCAAGGAGGCTTCCCCTGTGTCCTGATGGCTCCTGTGCTTTCCCTTCCAGCCAGCTACAAAGCAGTTTGCAAAGTCCCCTGTGGAGCGTCACCTGTCCCTGCAGGAGAGGAAACGAGCCTTGTACGACTATGCCAGGAGGTGAGAGCCCCCCACGCCTCTCCATGACACAAAATGTTCCCCTGCCCAAGCCCCCAGCAGCACCCGAGGTGCCACCGTGTCAACCTCAGTGTGGGCAGCACCTGAGGTGCCACCATGGCACCCTCAGTGTGGGCAGGACCCGAGGTGCCACCGTGGCACCCTCAGTGTGGACAGGACCCGAGGTGCCACCATGGCACCCTCAGTGTGGGCAGGATGTTTCTGTTTGGCACCAGGGACAGCTCCATTAATGCTCCTTGGTGTGAGGGCACTGGGAGTGATTTGATCTCTCTGCAGGCTTTTCATGAGGCAAATCCTGGCACAATAGGCCAGTTCTGGTGTGTGGGTCATGGTTTAGGAAGACACAGAAAATTGAGGGTGTGTTTGAGGGGAATTAGAGTGTGCCTGGGCTTGTTGGGCATTGGATGGCTGGGGTGGTGCTGAGGGAACCGTCCTGTTGGGAATCCCTGACTGGGACACCTGGCTGGGATCCTGTGGGTGGTCCTGGGGTACCGTGAGCTCTGTGGGCAACCCTGGCAGCCCCTCCCTGCCCTCACAATCCACCGGGATTGAACGGTCCGAGCAGAGCCAGCCTGGCCCTGTGCTGCTGCAGTGTCCCCACGGTGTTCCCGGTCCCCCGGGGCTGCTTCCTGGCCAGGATCCCCGGGTGGGTTCGGGGGAGGCCCCTCCGGTGTCTGAGGGAGGGCGCTCTCTCCCGCAGGCGGTTCGCTGAGAAGCACGGCGCGGCAAGGGCCGGCGGCAGCCCCTGAGCGGGCCGGACCGAGCCGGTGGCAACCCCTGACCGAAGCTCCGGGCCGGGCCGGTGGCAACCCCTGACCGGAGCTCGGGGCCGGGCCGGTGGCACCGGGAGCGCGCGGGCGGGACGGGCGGGGCGAGGGCGCCCTCTGGCGGCGGAAATAAACGGCGGCAGCGTCCGGCGAGGCTCGGGCTGTGCGAGCACCGGGGCGGGGGGCGGGGCCGGCGGGAAAGGGGGCGTGGTCAACGGGACAGGGGGCGGGCCCGGGCCGGCTCCGTGCGGGTCTGCACGCGCCGCAGCCGACGCCTGCTCGCGCGCCGCACGTAGGCGCCGCTTAAAGAGGCAACGCGGCGGGTCCGCCGCTGCCGGGCGAGCTGCGGCTCGCGGGCCCCAGCGGGAGGAGCCAGAGCCCCTTTAAGAGTCCGGCTGCCGGTGCCGGTGGTTTTATTTACATGGGGGCTCGCGGGCCTCACGTGACTGTCAGCGGCGGGGGCTGCGCGCGGAGCAGCCGCGGGGCCATGGCGGGAGCCGGCGACGACGGTCCGGGGGGAACCGGGGCACCGGGGCGGGATCGGGGCCACGGGGGAGCCGGGCGGGACGGGGAACCGGGGGTGAAGGGGCACCGAGGGGTTCGGGACAATGGAACACCCGGGGAACCGGGGATTCGGGACAGTGGGGAGCCCCCGGGGGTGGAGGGGTTGACGTGCACACGTGGGGGTCTGGGTCACCGGGAGCCCCGGGTGGTTGATGTGCGCTGTGGATGGGGGGCGGCTCCGTGGGGAGCCCAGGCGGGTTTCTGGGGGGGCTGAGGTGCGCCGGGGGTCCCAGCAGGGCTGGGTCGGTGGGGGCACCACGGGGCTGATGAGCACCGCGGGGGCGGGGGCAGATGCCGGTCCCGGAGAGCATCCCTGGGGTGCACAGGGCATCCCGGGTCAGGGCTGTGCTGGGGAGGGCTGGGGTGCAGGGCTGGTCCTGGAGCAGCGCAGGGGCTGACAGCTCCCTCAGGCTCCTGGGTGGAGCTGCGCTGTGGCCCAGGCTGTCCCGAGCCCGAGGCGGCGCCCTCGCCCTTCTCCTGCCACGCCGACGTGGAGCGGATGCTGCTGGAAGCCCAGCTGGAGACAGAGAGCAGTGAGGGGTGAGTCCTGAGGGGGAGCTGGGCTCCAGGGCCCTGCTGAGCTGTGCCACAGGCTGGGCTCAGTGACTGAGGGTTTCTCTTTGCAGGGCCCTGCTCGTGCTGGGCTCCCCAGCCTGGGATGAGGACAGAGCCAGCCATGGCAGCGATCAGCCAGCAGAGAGTGAGGCACTGCCTGCCCACAGCCAGCCCCAGCCCGGCTGCCCCCATCCCTGGCAGGTGAGGGAGCTGCTCCCTGCCCCTGGCACACCCTGCTGTGCCCAGGCCCTGCTCTGACCTGCCCTGTGTCTCCTTGCAGCGGGATGTGCCACAGGAAGCCAAGTGGAGGCAGCGACGCCTGAGAGCGTCCCTGGGCTGGGCCTGTGCCCGCTGCCCTCGGTACCTGTCTGCAGAGTGAGTCCTGTGGCCCCCACCTGCACATCCTGCTGCTGCCCCCCATCCTGCTGGCCCTGTTAACCATGAGCTTTCCCCAGGGAATTTGCCTTTGTGTGCTCCCCCCAGCCGGTGCTGTGGAGCCTGCAGGGAGGTGCAGTGGGGAGGAAGAAGAGACTTTTCAGTTCAGAGCTGCTGCTGCTCTTCATCCCCTCGCTCCTGCTCAGCCACCTGCTGACCCTGGGGCTGGGGTGAGTGTCTGGGGCTCTCACCACGGGGCTGGGGGAGGAGGGAACACTCCTGGATTTGGGCTGCTCATCCTTGGCTGCTGCAGTGCTCTGCTGCCATCTCCCCTTGCTCCTGGCCTGCTGGAGCCCAGCACCCCATTCCAGTGCCTCACAGTCACTCTCTCCAATGCAGGATCTACATTGGGAAGCGCCTGGCAGCCTCCTCAGCCAACCCTCTGTGAGGAGCTGGGCAGGCATCACCTTCTGCTCTGCTGGGAATGCAGGGAGAGCCTGGCACCAGCACAGCCTGACCGCTCCCAGGCCCCTCTGTCTGTTTGTCTGTCCCTCAGCCCTGCCTGGGAGCTGATCCCACTGTCCCCGTAGAATGGAACCCAGCTGCAGGCAGCCCCTGCCCTCCCCAGCCCCTGAAACAGACTGTAAATACTGAGCCCACCTCAATAAAGAGCCCTGTGCCAGCTCAGGGGTTGAACAGCGAGTCCCCTCCCTGTGTGTGGCTTGGGAAGTGACCACGGGGCCCTTCCCTGCGGCAGGGGGGTCACTCCCTGTGCTTTGGGGTGCTGCCAGCTGGGGGTGAGCCCCTGGGTGGGTGTTCAGCCCCACACAGGTGCCTGGCTGATGTGTTTGCCCTTTATTATCCGTGGCTGCAGTCAGAGGTGGGAGCTGAGCGTGGCATGGCAGTCAGGGCAGTGACCCTGCCTGGTGCAGGTGACAGGGGTGGGCAGGAGAGGTGGCACTGCAGAGTGAGGCTGTGTGCACACCTGTGCAGTGTGAGTCAGGAATGTGTCCTGCAGGATGAGGTGGGAGCTGTCCCATGGGTGGGGAGTAGGAATCACACAGAAATGGCACTGGGGATGTCACTGCTGCTGCCACTGGCACAGTCTGTGGGGTGGAAGGAGGGAGGGAGGGACATCCTCATGGCTGGGAGGGGCTGCAGTGTGGGAGCTCAGCGTGGTTCCAGAGGCACAGCAAGCACCCAGGGCCAGGTGACACCTGGGGGTGTCCAGAGCTGGTGGGACACAGGGTGGCGGTGCCTGGTACACACAGGGACTCTGCTCTGGGTGTCAGAGCTGCTCCAGCAGGTGAGAATCAAGCAGGGCTGTGGCTCCAGCAGCTGCTGGGCACAGGGGCACTCTGGGCAGGGGTGGGGACAGACAGGGGGTGCCATCAGGTCAGAGCTGTGACAGACGCTTGGACTTGGGTGGAGGCAGCGGTGGGGACTTGAGGCTTCTGGTCCCATCCACTGTTGGGGACACCTGAGAGCAGAGAGGGACGTGAGGGGTGGTGGGACCAGGGCCTGAGTGCCTCCCCTGCAGTCCCTGTCCCCCGTACCTTCCCTGGTGCTGCAGCATCGCTCTGCTCCAGGAATGTCTCGTACACCGAGGGGCTGAACTTGCGGGGCAGCGGTGGCAGCTTGCTGGCACTCTTCACACGGCCACCAAAGCCAGTGGGGGACAGGGATGAGCCTGTGCAGGCAGGAGAGGAGAGATGGAGGCTCAGCCAGCATGGGGGACACAGGGCCCATCAGTGTCCCCAGGGCTGTCAGGGCCAGCACTTCTGCCCCAACACTATGGGAGTGTGGCACTGCTGGGCAGAGGGGACAGAGGTGCCATGGGATGTGAGCCCAGCCAGGAGCAGAGGGCTGGCTCCCACCAGGAACAGCTCTTGGCATCAAGACCCAGTGGCACAAGGTCCAGGATCAACGGCTGCAGCCCCACAGGGAGTGTTCAACAAGGGACGTGCCTGTGCTCCAACGCTGTGCCACCACAAGGGGGTGAGGGGACCTGAGCTGAGCGTGGTGTGGGAGGGCACAGCCCTGC